TGCTATGGTATGTCATTTGCACCTTCAAAGTGCAAAGTGTTGTTGCAAGGTTGGCAGGAACCCAGTCCTGCACTTTTGTTGGGTAATGACACTTTGGAAGTAGTCGAAAGCTTTGACTACCTTGGGAGTTGCATAACCGCTGACGGTGTGGATGAGATTTCTTAACGCCTGATCAAAGCTAGATTAGCGTTTGTTAATCTGCGGCATCTCTGGCGCCGGCGCGACATATTCCTTTCACTGAAAGGGCGTGTGCATTGCGCAACGGTACGCACCGTATTGCTCTATGGCTGCGAGACCTGGCCTCTCCGAGCAAATAACGTCCAGCGACTATCAGCCTTCGACAACCGTTGTCTGCGTAACATCGCCCGCGTATGGTGGGAGCATCGCGTGAATAACGACGAAGTCAGACGACGGGTGCTAGGACCAGATAGTCTTCCTTTGAGCAAAATAGTTTCACAGCATCGTCTTAGGTAGCTAGGGCACGTCCTACAAATGCCTGAGCACCGTCTGCCACACCATGCACTATTCGCAGACATTGGTCCAGGCTGGAAGAAACAGCGAGGTGGGCAGACTATGACGTGGCGCCGAGGGTTCAAGAGATTGTGCTCGGACCGGGCTCCCGCTGAGATTTCTCGGCTCCCCGGCTGGGGCCCTAAAGATTCAGATTGTCTTTGGCTGGAGACACTGCGGGATATGGCATCGAATAGAAGTCAGTGGCGCGAATGCATCCTCTCTTGTCTGCAATCCCAAAAATAAACAAAAACTAAAAATGGCGTGCAATAAACAAACAAAAAATTTGTGACTCCCCGGAGTTGACTGTTTTGTTTTCCCCGCTTTTGTACCTATATTTTTTTCGTTCGCCCATGGTTATTTGGTGCCGTATCCGTGAAGATTGGTTATATATATGCTGAAACTAACGACTACCAAAAAGGTGGATGGCTGACTGGCAAACTAACTGAAGTGTCGGCTGTGTTAGGACAAACCGTCTAAACGATCGACCCACAATCATGTGCACCATAAGATCCTGATAGGACGTTAGTTTCTTTTTATTACACACATTTGTGCGATAAAAAGCAGATGGGTGGACCCAAAAGTCGCGAAGAACTACTATTCAGTGATGGAAACGGGTAATCTACGCCCCGGGACTTGGAGTTGTGAATCATATAGGGCCCCGCTAGGTTAGGTGAGGTATTGAACCGGACGACGGTAAAGCTGCCTACCACCAAACACCGGGGGCGGGGCTCGAACACAGGATCATATGGCGAAAGGGACTGAACCACTGCGCTACCACCACCACCAGTAAAACAACCAATCAAACAACAGCTAGACTGAACAGTCAACCAATCGAAAGCATTATTAATTCACTGATTTGTTTTACTCCTAATTAGTTGACTGATCCTTGTGCTTGTTTATTCTTGGACAGCGATCCATTCTACCGTAAATCCCGAGACATGCATGGTTTTATTAACATCAGTTTCGGTTTTTATAACTATTAACCATGCACTTTTGGGTGCCGGTTGTGGTTGCTGTCTTTTGTCAACCCATTTGGATAAAAAAGCAGGACGAAGATTGGAATGTTGAACGCAGAGTCAAAGGGAAGATAGGGAATTCATATAGACAGATTGCAAGAATAATGATTAGATGCATAGGCGCTACTGTTTGCGACACCCAGCCATATAGCTTAGTATATGTAACCACCGATTACCATGATCTCGGAGTCCCCATCAGCATACAGCGAAATACAATGAAGCAAACCTTGTTTATCACCGCCAAACTCAAAATGCATGCAAAATGAGGAATTCGCGGTTAGGAATGGAGTCTGCTTTGAGGGAGGGAAAAATAAATTGAACCATCACGACTAACGCAGAGTACAACTTCCAACTGTAAATGCATGCCTTTGTGCAACATAAGAAAAATGACTATGGCGCCTGGTAAAGACAAGAAAACTGTATCTCGAACTGTGGTTCGCTATTGAGTATTGCGGACATTTGAGGGTGGAGCATCATTCTTTTTCCTATTTTGCCTCAATCGGAAACCATAAATAACTATCATCAAAAGATAATTGTTCTCCTCATTGAAATACTATTGCGCGGCTCACACATTTACCGCTATTACTGCTGTTTGCGTTTTACGGTTATTCCAGTGCGTATAGCCCCCAGACCACCGGCTCCGTGCACGAGCGAATAGTTATGCATACAAAATGCGCGTATTTGCCTCTCACGTTTTCGCCTCTTATTTACTACGATCTCTAAACTCATGAAATAACATCTTGTGCTTGGGGGTCACCTGCAAAGTCTCAAAGTTCCAACAAAGTGACTTTGCCATGATGGCTTGCCCATCTACTTCTAAACAGCAATTCATTCTGGTTATTAGATTCGGCCTCCCATACTGCTAAGATTTTTTGATACAACAAAAACGATTAAAATCCGTACACACGACTCAATCAAACAGGACATAAAAGAAAACTTAACACAAGTTAAATACAAATATGTATTTATACATCCCAATGAAAGGTGTAATCTCCGAGTTGCAGGACGTAGCTGTTTTGCTAACAGACGATCCGAATGGAGAATGGGATAACTCTTGATCAAGGACAAACAACACATATTGAAACTGCATTGTACACAAAAAAGTAGGCAAAAAGGATAGCAAATCTGGAAACAGATTTTAGGAAATAATCTGTCCGGTGTACACTGTAGATCTGGGAGAATTCCCTATGTATATTGTTTTCCTGACGCAGCAAGGGTTCGAATACAGTTTGTTAGTTCGGATCGCTTATTAGCAACTAATTGATGAATGTCCGGTGAAACTAAACCGTCTTTCTGCCACTCCGAATTGCCGTCTAACAGGTACGAGCACAATTGTTCTGCATAGACCAGACAATAAATACCGCAATCACACGCATTATTTTGCTTGGCCACATTCAAATGAATCACTTCACTTAATTTAGGTTTTTCACAGAACGCCGCAATATGACGAGCGATACGCAATGATGCATCGAAATTAACTTGTGAGTAGAGCGGATCCAAATGATAGGACCGATCCAACTTTGGGGAGACCACGAGCAACGTCCAATGGGATCCACCACCAGAGTGACGTGATTCGGAATCGTTAACAAGAAATAGAAGCCAATCCATATGAGCACAGTTGAGAGAATCGAGTAGAATCTGAGCAGATGCATAATCGGATAATTTGAGCAACTGTGTTACGGCAGGATCAACAAGTAACAAACGATTTCGATCTGTCAAACGTGAATGACGAAGGTATTCAAATCCAAAAGACAATATGACATCGTTAATCCAGCGACCTTCGACCAGTGTGCATAAATCCCGCTCACGTACCAGATAATCGTAATAGCTGAGAACAACTCGGTCCATTTCTCAACAGAACCCAACGGCGTGTGATCAAAACCGATCTTACTAAAAATGAATCAGAGTTTAGCGAAAGAATTATATTTATTAGGGCTTCAAAGTAATATCATACGATAATATAGGAGCTTTGTGTTGATCGCAATGCATAAGAACTTCGTACAAACTACAGTCTCGTATATTAGCTTACAAAATCAATTCATCCAACCCTACTCAATCCGACAGTGGCGTCGATGCAAGTTTTACCTTCTCATAACACGTACCCTTCTTTCCATGTGACTGTGTTTAACATTAAAAAACCGAATTTATTTCGGGAAAGAATAAGAAAGCAAATGAACAATAAAAGACTAATCACTGTATTCATGTCGTTGTAGCGCCATAAGAACGTCAATTCGGAGGGATAACGTACGTGATCACCGTGAACCGAAGTCAAAGAACCACTGTTACGTTCCAACTCGTTTAAAGCCAGTTCCTTTGGTAATACTAATCCCAATGGTGTGGCGATAAGCGAAAGCCATAAGGTTAAATACTTCACTCCACTGATTTCCGATGAACAATACGCCATGGAGAACGCTTGCTGCATTAATGCGGCAGTCCTGCATGGGTGAAACTGATAGTACGGTATTCCCAGGTACGGGTGTTCGATTTGACTAAAACCTGCCTGCAAAACGGTACCATCATCCGCAACCGAACCAAAATTTGATTGTACTAGTTGATCCCACAGGCCATCGATGGACAAAATACACCCGGAAAATGTTTGTACTCGTACCATGAGAATGGGCACTTCGTAAGCCACGCTGTACGACACACGATATTCGATTTTATAGTTAACCGGCGATTCGCATTCTGTACTGGCAAGTGCCGATGTACACCGATTTGATTCATACCGACACCCGACTAATTCACTATATTCGTAATTCGGATAGTCTTCCATTTGCCATTGTATTGTAGATTCGGAAAACCGCACAAGTAGATCGTAAAGGTTCCTGAGGGCCACTTGAAACACGGACAAAGAGATACGACCATCTCTTTCTTGGATCATCGTTTAATGAATTGACGGCTGCAGTAAAAGACGGAATGCATGTATTAGAACGTTGCAATCTGACATAAAAAAACAACCTCGATTTTGCTTCCATATTATCATTATTATGCTACCATGTACACTACCTTATCGCATATTGTACCTTGCTCTTAGCTTTTTGAAGTTCTGCGCAGTCTTGGCCAATCGCTGAACTATAAGCATAATGATTTACCAGGTTGACAACTTATTTATGTCCCTTTCGACACTTCCGTCAGGTCAATGGGTCTTAGTCTCGAACCCAAACTAGCGACTTACAAGACAAGCCGTGAAACATTCCATCTTGGTCAGTCTTGAATTTGTGCATTACTTCAGGGCTTTGTAGTATAACTTAAGGTCATAAGAATGTGATCCACCAGCAGTATTTTAAAGATACGCGTTGCAGGAAGTGACTCTATTTTTAAGTCCGTGAAGAGCTCTTCGAACACAGTTCAGATATGTGAAAAGATAAATGATGCAACTAGTAGGTAGTACATATCTAAATTATCATTTAGGGCAGTAGGGTTGGCATTGCGAAACGCTTTGAACTGACGCTGCATGATAACAAAAGGTTTTATCTTCCACTGTAAGTGATGATTGCTACAAGATAAAAGACAGTTAGGTGGACGTTTCTTCCTCGCCGCTAAATCATTTCAGCTTATCGCGATTTGACCTTTCAACAACGATTCATCGTTTGTTCAATATTGACCCTCGTATTTCATCTAACTGCCTAACAGTGATATGAAACAGTTGCTTTTTGTCTAATACATACACAAACAAAACATAATTCCATACTGCATCGGTCGTCGCGCAGGATAATCAGGACCGCGTTGCTTATTGCGTCTAGCGGGGTGGGAAGTTATAAATGGGCTACTGCTCAGACATCCCAACCTTTGTTTAACTCTGTCTTCCGTTCCGAACCCTCTCCCTTTACCCCTTCTTCTAACCCGTAACATTCCCTCAGACAACTTGTTTGTTGCTTACCAAAGCTAGTGAAATGGAAATTGCAGCCGCATCAGGGAACAGTCAAAGACTGTTCTAACTGATACGCAACACGGGAGGTCGGCGTACGACTGTTAGTGAAACAATCTGCGACAAAAGTGGACAAGCTATTCACAATAGGGAACAACGGCTTGAACGGTGGGCGGAGTACTTCAATGAACAGTTCAGCTGGCCACGTGCTAACCAGACTATCTCGTCTGATGTAGTTGAGGCTCCGTGGTAAGTTTCATGTGAACCCCCTACTGTAGCAGAAGTTCAATCTTGCATCCAAGCCCTGAAGAAAGGAAAAGTAGCAGGACCAGACGGGCTTTCTCCCACTCTTTTCAAGATGGGGGGGGCGGTAACCTCGTAGACTCCATTACTGATCTAATGCGTAACATCTGGTCACACGAGCGCAGTCCCTCATCTTGGAGCGAATCACTGATTGTTCCAGTTTTTAAGAGGGGATCTCGCAATGACTGCGCAAACCACCGTGGAATAAGTTTGATCCCAATCGTTACCAATTTACTAGCCTCCATCATACTTCGACATCTGACACGGTTTAGGGAGACAAATATCCGCGAACAACAGCCAGGATTTCGACCAGACCGCGGTTATATCAATCAAATCTTCACTCTGCGTCAAGTCTTCGAACTATAACATATGCATCGTCGACCAACGGTTGTCGTGTTCCTTGACCTAAAAGGAGCCTTCCATTCAGTTGACCGTGAGTCCCTTATGGGTTCGCTCCTTCGCGAAGGAATGCCGCAGAAGTATCTGAACATACTGAGGTCACTTTACTTGCATACTTCTGGTAGCGTAAGGGTCTACGGTGAGTTGAAGTCATTCATAATTGGCAGCGGTGTTCGTCAAAGTGCCCTCGTCCGCCATTCCTGTTCAATTTCGTCATAGACGAAGTTCTGGAAAATACACTAAGTGGTCTCCAAAATGTAGGTATTGAATAGGCAGCTGGTGAAAAGCTGTGCAATTTGGAGTATGCTGACGACATCGTTTGCTTGTTCGAATCTATGGAGGATGCGCAAAGAGCACTCGACAGATTCACAAGTTCTGTCTCTCCGTTCGGCATGAGCTTTGTGCAAAGTGAAGCTACAAGACTGGGTGTTACCGAGTTCCGTTCTGAAACTAGACGGTCAGGGATCAACTGAAGTTGACTGTTTGTCGTACTTAGGTAGCTGCGTGACCAACGACGGTAGCGCATTTCCAAAGCTCGAGCAGCGTACGCAGGACTAAAACACCTGTGGCGGCGACGTGACGTTTCACTGAAGTTGAAAAGTCGCGTATATAGCACCACTGTACGATCATTTCTGTGAGACCTTGAACTTGCGGGTAGAAGACATCCGTCGTTTAGCAGTGTTCGACAATCGATGCTTACGTAGTCTGGCCCAAGTGAGATGCAGTGAGCGGGTTAGTAACATAGAGGTCGTTGGGTGTTTGAGAATACATCAGACCAGAACTCGCTATCTCATCGAATCCAGCTCAATAGGCTCTGTTGGTTAGGACATGTTTTGAGTATGTCCGTCAATCGCCTACCGCAACGCGCCTTATTTGCAGTAGCTGTTGCAGACTGGAGAAAACCACGTGGAGGCCAGATGATGTGGAGACGAGGCAGGAAGAAATGCACAGAATGATTAGGTAGAGTAGGAGTCTCCCGTCTTCCGGGTTGGGGTCCAAAAGACTCCGTAACCGCATGGTTCGAGACACTGAAGTTCATGGCAACAAACCGACAGCAATGGCGATCATGCTGTCACTTCTTATCAGACCAGAATGCTTGAAATAGTATGTATGCACAATTGGACTGTATACTCGGTGTGTTGACCGTAGATGTTGGCTTCCTTTTCCCGTCCCTAAAATTAAGTCCAATCCCTGTCCTCCTTACATATTATCACTTACCTTGTATGCAATATGAATTTGGCAACGCTCAGTGAAGTTTGCTTCGCTGCATTACGCTGTACAATGATGATGATTTTCGTGTAAAAATATACAAAAGAATATACCAATTTTGAAAGCCTCGACCCATATTCAAGGGATTTACTACGGATAGCATACCTGAATGCCATCGAGCGCATCTCCAGGTCACGGATAGGATAAGAGCCACCTTAATAGTTAAGAGTAAATAGGTGAGGGCAAAGACGATCAATGATCACGGATGATTAGCGACAATGCGGCAGCATTTCCGACTGGTAACCGACATTCTAATTTAGAAGACATAAGTGTCTGTTGGCGTGCGTGAATGTGGCCCGTCACCAAGAGGGAACATAGCCTCTTGCCAACTCGTTTGAGTAGGACAACGTTTGAGATCTAAGCATTAGCCATTGACCCACAGATCTCACATCATCATCATCGTACAACGAGATACAGTGAAACGAGCTTCACTGATCGCTGCCAAGCTCACAATGTACACAAATCAAATGATAAAGCAAAAGATGGAGAGGGATTGGGTCTACTTGGAGGGAAACAAAGAAAAAGAACCTCTATGGTCAACACAGAGAGTACAAAATCTAAGTGTTCATGCATACCTTTTTCAAGCATTCTGCTTTGTTAAGAAATAACAACAAGAGCGCCACTGCTGTCGGTCAGTCGCCATATCCTTTAGTGTCTCAAGCCAACCAGCTGTAGAGTCTTTCGGACCCCAACTTGGAAGACGGGAAACACCAATTCTACCTAATCGCTCTATGCATTTCTTCATGCCTTGCTTCCATGTCATCTGTTGACCACCACGCGGTTTCTTCCAACTTGGAGCCGTAACTGCGAATAAGGCGCGGTGAGGTAGACGATAGCTGGACATGCGCAATACGTGTCCTAACCAGCGAAACCGACTAATCTGAATTCGATGGGACAAAGAATTCTCCGGCGAATCATTACCAAATACGCGACGCCTTACCTCAGAGTTGCTTACAAGCTCGCTGCATCCAACCCGAGCCAAACTACGTAAACATCTGCAGTCGAATACTTCAAGACGACGNCAGTATACACGACCTTTCAGTTTCAACGAAACATCGCATCTACACCAAAGGTGTTTTAATCCTGCGTAAGCTGCTCGAGCCTTGGAAATGCGGGCGGTTACTTTATTGACTATGCTACCGTCATTTGAAACGCAGCTACCTAAGTATGTGAAACATTCCACTACGGCTAATTCTCGGCCATCAAGCATCAGCGCTGGGGTAGACGACACCCAGTCTTGTAGCATC